AAAAACCTCAAGGTAGGAACTTAAGATCTGAGATGGACTGGTGGCTAGACCATTTCGACATTATCAGCTTTATATCAGCATGTTATCCCCGTTGTCATTTCTAAATGAAAACAAAAATGCCTTTATCAATGAGTGCATGTTCAATCTAATAGAGACTTCCTTTTTTATTTTAATCAAAGTATTTACTTTGTATTTTCTTGTCTCTATGATTTCTGATAGCTGGACAAAAATCCCAAAGTTGTTGTGATACTACTACATTTTTTCATCTACATTTATTCACTAAAAGCAGTCACTCAGGTTTAGCTATTTTATTTCCTATTGATTTGTATCAATGAATTGATGTTAAACAAAAACAATGTGATATCGGCAAACAAATATCAGTATTGGTATCGGCCTTAAAAAAACTGATATCAGTCAACCACTGTTTACATTATCTACCAGTATGACTCAGGTTTTTAAAATGCCATTTAGAAAAGAAGTTTAGTTCCTATTTTCTTTTTAAAGCTGGTTTCTATTATACAATATAAAAACAGTTGTTTGATCTATAATAAAATTGTGCTCTTGATACATTGACACTTTAAAATGACTCAGTTGAGATCAGTTAGCATCCATTTAAAAACACAACTACAAAAAGTAGCTCATCAAACAAAGTGACCTGTAGTTTTTTAGTTAACTTAATCATATAATTGAGTTTTTTTGGATGTGAACCACAGACTCTGTAAAAGAGCCCAACTTTGCATCCACTTATGATTACAGTATTGTAAAGCTAAATATGCCAATATGCTGTTCCAGTTTTTCCCATCCCTGCTTCACATTGAGTATCTCAGCTACTGAATCAGAAAGTAAAATTCTAACATCTTAACACAAATTGAGTTTTACTAATCCATACAAAACTGTAGTTCTACAGCTGAGCCCTGCAAAACATAACAGGGGTTTGAGTGTTACCCCAAAGAGGGGCTTGTATACCCGTTACAGCTCTCTCTCCTGCATGTTCTGATAGTGCGGCTCAGATATGAGGATCAAAAGCTGGAAAACAAGGACTGTGTCCAATGTAAGGGCTCCCACGAGACTTTCAGAAAATCATAATTAAAGTTTGGGGCAGATTTGAAATGTAGACTCTGGTGGCCTTCAGGGCAAAGAGGGATGTGTGGAATTTCATATGCCTGTTATTTAGCCTGCAGAAAGTCCTGCGAATTGCTTTAGTCCTGCACCTTATTGGATTTTATCTTCATTGTTTCTCTTTATGTGGAATTATAGGTTATAGCTGACCTCCTTAAAAAGATAGAGTGGCTGGAACAGTCAAAATCTGTGTTCATCTCCTGCAGGATTTTGGGTGCATGCTGACCATCACTTTCAGAATCTGCATGGAGAATTTAATGAATTTAGACAACAAACTGCTTTGAAAACATGTGTCATTTTTTTAGATGAGTGCTCAAAATGTGGCATTTGTGTTTTATGAGTTGTTCTGAAAATCACTTTCAGCCGTCTTGCCTTTTTTTCAAGACTGAAGGGCATAGAGAGGGAGAAAAAAAGTCCTCCTATCATCTCCTCCTCTCCATAACTTTGTTTCTTTTGCTCTGCAGATCAAAGACCTCTGAAATTGGTGTCCCAAAGATGTACATTGTTGAGATGACAGGGCGACAATACAGAGAAAACGCGTGGTCTATCAGACATGTCAGGCTGCAGAAAGGAGAGGGAAGAGAGGCTGAGAAAGGCCTGGGTGTTGATTTAATACCCCAAACTGCAGGAATCTGGAGCTTTTAGCTGTGGCCAAGTCAGTATGTGAAGGATTTTTGCAAAAACATGCGGCAACAACAGGATGTCAGGGTAACCCAAGACAGACAAGATTTCATAATGTGGATTTCATTTTTTTGAGAGAGAAAAAGAGAGAAAATACTCAATGATTTTCATGATTTTAAGAGAAATATTCAAACGTTCCTCAATCTTTGAAGAAATTTAGTAACATTTGGTGACACATTTAGCAACTTTGTTTTGAATTGAGGTGTCTAAAGCCAAGTGAAAGTGGCAGAACAAGTCAAATCTGAGAGAGGGAGGCATACAAAGAAAGAAAGAAAGAGAGAGAGGGAGAGACTTGTCTTTGCGCCTCGGCGTTACAACCTGCTGCTCCAACAAAGACTTTAATAGTTGAAAAGCATCCGAAGTGACTGGAGCTCAGACACTCACAGAATAAATATTTGTATTCATTTGAGAAACGAGGATTTGAACAACGAGCGAAAAAAAAACGAACAAAGGCTCCCAAAAAACAAGCACGAATGAAAGCATTGTCCCCGCCTTTGAAATTCTGATTCACCATATCATAACCCCTGCGAGGAAAAAACATCAATATCCCCACGGAAAGGACACGTTTCTATGGGAAACTAAAGAATTTTAGTGCAGAACCGATGTGGCGGTGAAAAAAAAGGGGGGAACCAAAGGGATCAAAGGCTCCGCTTAAGAAGGCTTTTACTGGAAGAAAAGATGGACTATGTTGACTTCTAAGTGTGGCAACATTTTGGACACATCAAGTCCGCTGTCTGAGTGGCTGAAATTTCAAATCGCGCTTAAACACCGAACATTTTTATTTAAGGTGCTCAACTTTCCATCTTCTGGAAAACATTGCGATCAGTTTTTAAAACGTGCAGCGAATGGTTGATTTTTTCAAGACAAAATGAAAGTTTTAAAAAAAACGACTCGTGCGTAATTACGCTCAATAATGTGTTTGAAATCATTCGCGCATCAACGTCTTAAGAGTCAAACACCCACCAAAGATATGACTGAATTATAATTTTTAAACAAATTAAGTATTTTTTCCCAATTTTTTAGAGCTCAAACTCTAAAGTTGCCCACCTCGAATTGAAACAACGTAATGTCAAACTTTCTAAAGCGGTGTTTTTGCCTTCAGAGTCTCCAAGGGGGACCAGGAAACTGATGCTTGTAACGTCTCAATCTTAAGGCCTTTACGCAGTTTTATCCATACGCCCTTCCAGGTACTCCGACACGCATGTAGCCTAGAAACAACACTAAAGTAAACAGGACTAACAGGAGACTAGTCCCTTTGTTGTGCCAAAGGCAGCTGCCCAGCCCCCTATTATCCCCGAGCAGACTGACCGCATCCTTCCCACTGCCCCCTCACCAACCCAGTGCACAAAAAGAGAGGGATGTTCTGCTTGCGTGGGTAACACTGTCGTTCCAGCCCTTAGCAGTCCTCTTACCCTCTATTGAAAGGAGTGGGAGTAGTGGACACAGCCTGATCTGCGGAGTACAAAGGCTCTCCGTAGAGTCCCATTGGAGTGAAAGGAATGGAGGGGCTGGAGATTTGTGAAAGAGGCTCGGAAGATTTAGAGAAAGAACGGAAGTTTTGTTGTTGTGCTTGATTTCCCTTCCTAAGTAGAGATGAAGTGGATGGATAAACCCACTTATACTCAATGTACTCAACTTTTTAGAAGCAGGACAGTCTGCTCACCTATTTGGCCTGGCATTGACACACAAAGTCCAATAATTAGTAGAGTTTAAAACAAGTAATTTCTGTACAACATGTCATGAAAACTGTAGTCTCCACATTTAGTTAGTAGAAAAAACTGTAACACTTTATTTGACACCTATCTCTATAACACATTATAAATACATTTATAATGTGTTATAAACGTGTATAACTATAATAAACTCTTATAAATGATCATAATGTTTATAGCAATAATCATAACACATTATAAAGCATTTTATCATGACTTACAAGGTCAGGTATTATAATGTGTTATAACTGTTAACAACAGTTGCATTGCATTAACCATGTGGACATTGTCAGTGAGTTGACAACAGTTATAACACATTATAATACCTGACCATGTAAGTTATGATAAAATGCTTTGTAATGTACTATGATTATTGCTATAAAACATTATGATCATTTATGAGTGTTTAAAACTACAGTTAAACAGTGCAATAACGTGATTATAACCTATTTTACGTATATTAATAATGTGTTATAGAGATAGACATCAAGTCAAGTGGTACCGAATAAAACTTTTTTCCCCAGGAAATCTGATCCAGATTTTGACATCAAATGCCTCAAACAAAATGTTCCAATCAAAGATAAGCTCTGATTTAATTTCTTGTATTTTTTTCTAAATTAGTTCAATCTTTGTGATTAAATATTTAAAAGATTACAAAAAAGAATGAATCAAAGTTAGGGGAGAAAATGGAGAAAATTGCTAAAAGGCCAACCATTTTAATTACCAATAATGAGGGATTATGGGATACAATTAGAAGAATTAGATATGAAATTGTTCCCTGGCAGAGATAGAAAGGGGACGCCATGGGTGCCCTCGGGGGGAGTCCCATGCTGGCAGGGTTTATGTGGACACACACTTTCAGCGAGGATTGAATATGACCCTGTTGTTTCAAAATGGCCTCCTGATTTATATCCATCAAGGTTTAAAGGGGCCTGCCATGTCTGCTGAAATAGAGGTGTTGACAGCCATGCTTGAAAGCTTCTGGCTCATACTGTTTTAATGTTAGTCTTGTGGCATAGCTGGGTTATACCCAGGCATTCTTAGGCTGGAAACAATATGATTTTGTGTCTCATGTTGCTTTATCTTCCTGTCTAGAATATTGTGAATTTGCTGTGAGGAAGTTTACAAATCAGTGAAATATCAGCTGCTTTTTGGGTTAAAAAGTGAGTGAATTCTCGACATTCACTAGAACAGTTAAAGGCAAGGCAGCATGAACCTCACTTGACGTTTTATTTAGCGTAGTTTAAGTTCTCTAACCTGCTATTAATTGCAGTGCAAACCTAAGTGAATAAATGCTAGTTTAAGGAAGTGCCACAGGACTGAAATCCTCTGAGAAATCCACCAGGCTGAGAATCCTCTTTGAAGGCACATTCCATAGGTCACAGTGCAAACACCACGCAGTCACACCGTTTCATCCTCATCAACATTTGTGTGGGCCGCACAGCCCCAAGGCCTAAAGAAACACGCCTGGGATTTCTCTGTCTATAGTTAGCGAAAGGCCAGCTCCTCTGGCTCCACTGAGCGGCGACACGGCTGACACCGGTCCAGCCAGCTCTCTGATTGGTGCGGAGAGGACTTTGCAGAATCAGGAAGCATTACTGCTGGCTGGTAATGTTTCAACTTCTTCTATGAGCACTATTTGAACTGTAATTGAGATTTACTGTTGTTGCACTTACTCTCCACACAGCAGGCTGAGCACACATTGTGTAAATAAAGGGAACCCTATGTTCTGCTACCAGGCTTGAGCATGTGCTATTTTAACTCTGCGCATACTGTGACAGTTCACACTCTTATAAAGCTTCTCCTGTTATAATTACATCATCTTGAGCCTTATCAGACACCAGTATGTGAAGCATGTAAACTCCACGGTTGGCAATATATCAGCCTCCTTTGTTGGACATTTATACACGACCACGGACTTGTGCAATTATGAGCTTACTGTTCTGTCAAGTATTTAATGTCTTGTAAAACAGCCAGATATTTATAAAGAACGGTGAACGGTGCAATGCAATCTGTAAGAGAGGAAGAGGGTAACATGTTATACTTGACATGTGCACAGTAAACAGGATTACACTTGCAAGTGTGCACAAGTTTAAGATTCCAGCAGACATGATGTGATAACTCATCACACTTGAGTCTGGAGTGCAAAAACAACTCTCATATATCACTGTTTTTTTTTTTTCAATTTAGGATAATGTACACCCATTTGTTGTTGTGATTACAGTGTTGAGTGGAGAGACGACAGAAAAGTTCAGTTTTTTACTTAAAAAGCTGTAATAAAAATATACAGGATTACTTGCATTTTCTCACACCTAAGATGAAATCATTCACTGCATGTTCATTCATTGCATGTTTTATCTTCAGATATTGAAAAATCAACCCTCCCTATAATCAAACCTGATCATGGTTGAACTGCTCATTCATCAGTCATACATTTTTCTATTCAAATAGCACCAATTTATGTCAAATGTTGACAAAAAAAGCAGGTCCAGATCATACTTACTGTTATATTATTAAGACACTTAAAAACACTCCACAACATCTAGAAAGCTACAGTTGCAAAGACAGGGGATAGAAGGAGATAAAGAAACAAAGAGATCTATCACACTTTACACTGTCATTATAGTGCATTTAGGAATAGTTTAGTTGAGTAAAGCTAGAAGCTAATGGCTTTAATGGTGTGTTCCAGTTACCTTGGAAGTAAGATGTCGAAGCTGGGAATGATGTTACACCCGTGTTGGTAGCGTTCCAGTAGACAAGTCGGAAAACCAAGATGGACGCTTACTGTTAGCCGTTGTTAGCTGTTGTTAACAATTGTCAGCTGTTGTTGGCTGTTGTCAGTTGTTGTTAGCAATACCAGTTGTAAACAACGCAAAACACAGTATTTTACTCTTACAAACACCATAGCACCATGTTCACAGTTAGACCTTGGACAGTACAACAACAACCAAACAAACACACAAAACAAAAGACCTCATAGCAGAGGTTGCTAGTATCAAAATTTGCTGCATGTTTTTTCCCGCTCTCTGCTCCCTGCACTCTGCATTTAAGGACTTTTTAATTAACAATGAGGCTTTTTATGACAGACAAAAACAAATAAAACCACCAGCAACAAAACTTAGAATATTCCTAAGAAAACCAACAACTCATGCTTGCGCAAGATAAAAGAGTTACAGATATAAAATACAAGAAGTATCACTTCATACTTGCAGGCACAAAAGCAACATAGAAAGATAATTCCTGATGCTGTAATCAAACTTTCTGAACCCTGCATTAAGAACACCACTCCTTCAGTACAGGGTGCTCCAGTCAGTTTTGGGTCATACCAAACGCTGACTAAAGTGTTATGTGGTTTGGATATCCGGTGTAATGTCAGAGGCGAGTGAACTGAATGCTTTGTCTATCATTATCCAAGAAAGGCTGCGGCCCAGTGGTCAGTTTGAGGGCACAGAGAAAGTGGTGGAAGTAATGTTGAACACATGGTGGTCAAACGTGTTAGCTCAAAGTGGTGTCCGGCTCGACTTCTGTCAGTTTCCCGCTGCAGGGGACTTGACGTGTGGGAATAGAGGCTCCATGCATGGCTGCCATGCATTGGCCCTTACGTTTTGCACATGTAGGTAAACAATCCTGCCTTGTCTGCTGAGAGGCCTACGTTTATACATGGGTGCAAAACATGTGTTGCGGCCAAAGTTGCATCAAAGGTCAGTAAGCTATGCTTTGAACACTTCAAAGCCGGGGGATGAGACTGTAGCTTTTAAGTTTTATGGCAGGTGTAAGCAGGGGTTGCTGACCAGCCCAGGGTGGTCTGCTCCCTGGTCTGCAAGAGACCGCTGCTGCTGGTTAGCATGGTAGAGGTGGTGGTAGTGGAGTTGGGCAGAGGGCCAAGGCGGCGGGGGCAGGGCCTCAACCACCCGACCAGCCTGCGTTAGAAATGTCTTCATGGAGGAAGAGCCACATTTGGAGTCCTTGGATCTGAAAGGGGTTCCTGGGAGCAGACTGGACGCAGGCAGACGTCCACTTCAAGGGTCTCTGGTTTCAGAGGACCCAGCAGGGAACGTCTCAGGCCTGTGTCAGTCCCATTTGGAAACAGATACATTGGCTGAGAGGAGCGCAGGGGCCAGAGCCTGATGACCATACCACAGAGTGACCACAACACTGCCCCCTCCCCTGACAGAGCAAAAACAGACCCTATAGCAAGTTCAAAGGATCCAGAGGGGTCTCACAAGAGTTCACTTGCTGGAGTTCATTCATCTCCGCACCTGATTTGGTTCACTGCCTCCTGTTTGGTGAGGCATTTCAGTTTAACACGCTGGACTTCAAAGGTGGCAACCTTATTAAGAGCTGTTATTCAAAATGAGTCATTCTGCAAAAACGCATGCAGTTTGATGTCATATAACCACCAGATCTCCCTTTTCTGAGTTTCCATTTGCAATTAATCATGAGCAGAATCTTATTTGAGTCATTCTATGTTTTGATTCTACATTTGTTTTCCTAAAGGGGAGTCACGTGAAAGAGAGCAGAATTTAAATTCCTGACAATTTTGGACCACAGCTGAAAAGGTCTTTTTTGGTGGCCTTGAACAAAACAACTTAAACGACTATTAACAAATATTCTGTATCTCCTGCCTCAAGCTGAACAAATCCATGCTCTGTAACAAAACTCCAAACTCCCGCAGTTGAGTGTGCTTTAAAACTCCACATTATGAACATTGAAATCAACACAAAGTGGCTTGATAACTCCTCCGGTGACAGAGGCGGCTAAATTGATCATTTTGAATGCTTTACAATATCCATAATTATGCGAGCGGAATACAAGGTGCTGTGCGTCTGGTTGATGATCCTGGAATGACAGGTCTATAACCGCCCCCCCTCGACTCTTCTTCAGATAGTTGGAGACCCACATGCACATTGAGAAAAGCCATTACAAGCCCGGGGTGAAGCAGGTGTGTTTGCAGCACTTCACAGATGGCTGGGAGTGTTGTTAATGAGAGAATAGTAAACACCAGAAAACTTTTATCTTTGATGGGGGATTGTTTTACCAAGTGTGAGCTTCTGAGCTTGTCAAAACAGTGGAACGGGAGGTCAATTCGCACATATGATTTCATTGACCCCCGCTAATAAGGCCGTGCCCTGACAGTTAGCGCTGTTCATGGACTCTCTTTAGTATACTTTGTTGGAGGATTTTTCAGTCTCAGGATGAGCAGCTTGTCTTTGTTATAAAATTCAGAAATGTCACCAAAACCTCTTTCCAACTCTTTATTAATGGAGTGCTATTAAAATGCAACATTGTGCAACACCCAGAGAAACATTATCCTGAGAGTGCGGCTTCTTTTCATTTGACTGTTGTGCTGAGGTGCTGAAGTGAGATGATTAAAAGTGCATTACCTGGGCCCAGTGATTCCCTGAATGAGCAATGCTAAATTGGTTGTTTTCTACATCCTGATTAATTGAACTTCCAAAGCCACATTTCAACACGCTTTGTTTTTCTGTCCCCAGTCATCACCTATTATTAAAGACAAATTTTCAATATCTCTCTAGGAGTCCAATTAAGGATTTACATTGTGACAGTATTTTTCACTTTAATTACTATACGTGGCGCAAGCCTTGATGTATTTCCTTATTTATCAAACTACACAGTGGAACTGAATTCATCAAGTTAACGGATAGTTAGCTTCTGTAATTGCAGCTTCTTTTTGGCGGTGCAAAAAAAACAAGAGATCCCAAATCTGATGAACAATTGAATAATATCTCTGCTGGAAATGACTACACAGCAAATCCACAGTGAAACTAAGTGTTAGGAGTAGTGTAGCTTGAATGATGTATAGCTGCGTGTGATGTGATAGCATTGTAAGCTGGTTGAAAATAAATGGAAAGACTGGGTCTTAGATATTATTATAACCCTAAAATACAGGACTCAACAGTTGCACCACAGGTTTCTGAATCACAATAGCTTGTGGGACTTAGAACAAAAACGTGGGGTCAGTGTTATTAATTTCATTTGACCACATATTGGGCAAACAGTCGGGATCCATTTTGGTAACTGGCAGCATTATAAAACACTTGCAGATTCCAGCGTTCAGAGAGATGCCTCGTGGCCGCTGCACTTGACTTGGATTTCAGTGTCTGACACCGGCATTCTGGGATCCCCTCTTCACACTTAAAAACCTAAATGCCTCGTTGTTGGAGACAACTGCAATAGTCTTGAAGTTAAGTGGCTTCAAATTGAAATTTCCTGTGGGTTTGCAGCATGCATATGGAGCCAATAAAAGTCCTGTGGCCCTGAATAAATGTTAATTTTTCTTTTTGTGGGTCTGCAGGGTAAGAGAAATGATGACACTTTCTCGGCTAAACATGCAGATACTCGATGAATAATCATCTCATTGCTCGAAAGAAATTTAATAAATAAAAAGATTGCACGGCAATCCTCTTTCCGTGATGGTTCCCTAGAAGCGAGGCCTGCAGTAGTCTGAAGCTACCCGTGGCATCCAGCTTAATGCCCAATTTTCATCCAGCATCTATACCAGCTCTTTTGTGTGACCCTGCAAATATCCTCTGGGTCTCTTCATTAGTCTATGGAGCCTGTGTGTAAAGGCTCTCCAGTTAATTTGCCCCGGCAGGACTGTTTCCCCTACAGGAGATCAGCTGGAAAAAAAGAAAAAACTCGCCTGAGTCACTCAGAGATTCAAAGAGGCACGCATGATGCAAATATATATAGTGGGTTTCTGTTTCCCACCTTTTAACATATTCCCCTCATCCATTTTAAGTGCTCCAGCGAATCTCTCACACCACTCATTGGCTTGTTTATGGCCGGCTTTCTGCCTTGATCTTGTCATGCACCGCTGATACGAGCGCAGTGGTGGATCATGGCCATAACATTTTTTTTTCTGCATTGTTTGGCCGACCACTTGCTGCTACAATTGACCTGCGAGTGGAGCTGATGACCAAGATGGCTAACCCCTGGGGAGCACAAGTCAGGGAAATCATGCGAGAGATGGAGAGAGATGGAGAGGGAGAGCAAGAGACCAAGACCAACATGGGCACACAAATCACACACACAAAAAAATCACTGTACTGTATTTCCACACCTCTCCCACCAGCTTGCCTCTGCGTAGTTCGGTTGAAGGGTCTGCGGTGAGAAAGAATGCCATATTTATGCAGCAAAGGGCCATCATTTCTTTTAGGGTTTGGGGGCTCCTGGCGAGATGCTGGCATGATGTGCCCGGCTCTGACAGGTGCTGCCATCCTGACAGCGCAGCCCGGCCACCATCTAGACAAGAGTTGTCTGCTCGAGCTGCAGAAGATCCAGGACCTTGCTGGGAGCGTGATCCCAACTTGGCACTGACCGCAGGACCGATCACTGGAGCTGATTTAATTGTGTCACTCTTGGGAAAAAAGAAGAAGAAAGAAAACAGAAGTTGAAGGCATGGCTGCACTGGCAAACAGTTATAAGTTTCAAGGATGCTCCAATATTGGTTTACCTCCAGATACAGAGTTTCCTGACAACATCAGACGAATCTAAAATTTACACATTATTCCTGGGGAAACTTTGATGACTCAAATTTTAATTAATTTACCAGAACTGTTATTGTCATCAACACATGTCAGTTCATCAGAACCACCTGATTTTGGGGATGTAAAGATATAAAATGTCTATGCATTCATGAGTATTTATAATACTAAACCCCACATTTCAGACAGTTTTACATACCAATACCAATGATAGTATTAGTCCTTGTATTAGTACCAGAGACTGATACCAGTATGGGAATCCATATTGATTGTCAATACAGATACTGGGATTTGTCCATCCATCTTCCACCGCTTATCCGGGACTGGGTCATGGGGGCACTGGTTTTGATAACCAGATAGAGGTCAGGTACCGATAACAGTTTCCATATAAGCTAGTACTATCCCTACTGTAATGTGTATCAGAGGCTGAAAAAATACAGATATCTACAAAGGAGACCAATATCCTGATATCTGTATTAGAGGCCAATACCAATACAGTGGTGATATCTGTGTTATGATACATTTCCTGCTAATGATATAAAATTTTATACTCGTCAATTTCATACTGATATCGGTATTAGAGGCCAATACAATAAACATTCCCATCAGAGGCCAATAAGATATATCTGTATGTAAGGCTAATACCATGATACTGATAAATGTATCAAAGGCTGATACTGTCAATGATAAACACACCAGAGGCCAATATCATACTGATATCTGTAGTAGAAGCCAACATTACACAGATTTATATCAGAAGCCAACAGGATATATCTGTATCAGAGGCTGGTATGATACTGATATCTCTGTAGGAGACCGATACAATACTGTTGTCAGTCTCCGCGGCTGACACTGTCACTGGTATTTGTATTTGAAGCCAACATTTTTACTGATATCAAAAGCAGATTTGACTATTGGTTTTAGTTTGTGAACAACTCTTTTTTACTACACCTTCGGTAGTTTGATGCAGGCCTGTTTAAAATCTGTGCTGCAGCTTCCAGTAGGGACTATTTTTCTTAAGCTGTTGAGGTAAGGTTTGTACTCCAGTAGGTGTAATGTTTCTCATTAAAGTAGAAAGGAACCACTTTCAGGGGAGACAAACTCTCCCCATGAAACATTTGGAAACATGTCTTCCTCAGCTGCAGGGTTGTGAGGGTGCACATGGAAAACATTAAACCCTTTACACATTGAATAAGGACAGACCAATAAATGTCAGGAATTTGAGAAAAGCGGGACCAAATCAGATAGAGTAGGACTCCATCATTTGCCTCCAATCTTGGTGTTGCATTTATTAAGAGCACAGGCATTCCTCACAACATCCTACCTTGTAAGTTTTTTTTCCCCTGTCTGCTCTGTAATTAGCTCTGGCAAGCTATTGTTTCCATGACAGGGCGAGTAAGCGAGGAGCAGACAAAACATAAGCCGGGGAAATAAAGAGAAAATGTGGAAAATCCAAACCAGGTGGAAATTTTGGGACAAATCTATAACTCTGTAATGAGACATTCACAGTTCACCTTGCAGATTCCCAGTGCCACTCCTCTGTGGGCTGAATGGAGAGCAGTGGGGTTGAAGCTGCAGAAAGCGAGAGAAAGAAAATACCTTTAAAAGAGATTAACATGGTGCTGCAAAGAGATCAGGTGACAGAGCGAGAAAGACACATTAAAAAATACCGTGTTGATGAGATTGAATGTGTCAGCTTTAATTTGGGAGACTTTGGCTTAGCTCAGGCTGCAGATGATCCGGTCCATACTTTGGCTGGACGGCATCCAAATCTGTCTCCTTGGAAGAGTTACTGGGCCATGGGACTTTGTCCAGACACTCCAAGGAAAGCGATGTATACCACAGTGCTTCAGATGGCCTCAATGTGGTTTGGTTGCAATTTTTTTTTTATGATCAGAATCAAAATATCTCTTTCTATCATCAGCTGAAAAGGTTGGCCGGCTGCTCTGCTTTTTGATCAGGGTGGAGGATCTTTTGGACGCTGCATCAGGCTGTAAATTTTATTGTTTTCATAATTTTTTCTCATAATTTCCCTGTTTTTTTTTAATTGCACCCAAACTGTAACATTAAAAAGGTTACTTTGAGTTTCCTCATATTTCTGTGAACCCTGTCTGACAGAATCCAAACGGACAACCCTACATCTCTCCTGCTTCCTGTCCTATTTTTCCTTCCAGACAAGTTTGAAAAAACGCTTAAAGTTTACTTCTTCAAGTTTAACTTTAACAGCCTGGATCATAAAGTTGTACTTATCAAGTGACCATTTTTCTGCTCATCCCTCAGCTCCGAGATTTACAGGGGGTAGCATCGTCAGAGTGAAATCATAGGTCTGCAGATGTTTTCAAGATGTTTTTTCTGTCAGTTGCAGATTATCCCCTGTAGCAAAATCTCATTAAAGTGCAATTTACAGAGCTGCACTGATGTTGCCATCAACCAAAATTAAAGGCATTAATTTTTCAAAGAAGTTCACCGAAGTCCTCACAATAAATGATGTAGCACTTTGTATGAATGATTTGCCAAAGTATTATTTTGGAGGAAGAAATTAACTTGCATTAACGGAGCGAGGGGATTGGACATAGACTTGGAAAAAAGAAGATGTGCAAATGTGGCCATTTAGTCAGAGCGTGTCGGTACGGAGACATGCATATTAAGGCTACCATGCTGGGACAGATGAGGGAAGAGGGAAATATGAAACCCTGATGGAGGTTATGACACAGACACATAGAGAGAGACGTGTACACTGGAGGACTGAGGCGCCTTTTCTGCTGTTGTGTGCAGGACGAAAAACGGCTAAAAATCACATGGAGTTTGGTTTAGGAAATACTTTTTTTGTACTCTCAGAATCTGGAAAAGTTAAAGGTCAAAAAACAGTTGTAATGTTAATTTTTGTCGCAATTTTTTTTGCATTTTAGGATCTTTGAAATCTTTTTTTTCCCCTTTGAGAGAATCAAACGTAAAGAGATGAATGTCCAAAAATGCCCAAACTAAATTTTGGTTTGGATCTTACAATAAACCCTTTTTTACAGTAACATTGAAATAAAAGTAAAACTTAAAAACTGTTCAAACAGGCTAACTTTCTTTGTTTTCTGCTCTCACTGGTGTAAAAAGTTGGATTTTATTAAGAATCCATAAATTATGACCCCAAACTTAATTTTAAAAGATTGAAACACTATTTTACATTTATTCATATTGAATGCACATCAATTTTTAAATTGAAATAAAGGAGCCAAATTGAACAAAATGTCAGAGATCTTCATTTTAATTTTCTTTAAAGAATATTTAAGCTGTCTGGCACGTTTTTTTTGTCCGTAAGGCTGGGATTGGGCATGAAATTTTGCGTGCGTCATGGTGAGTGTTTACACGATTTAACACGTGCCAAATATTTTGACTGCTTGTCAAATGCTTGCATATTAAATGAATATTAAAAATATATAATTCTAAAAAATGTATAAAAGTGTTTCTAAATAACTCGATATATTTTAGTTATAATAATAATAATAATAATAATAATAATAATAATAATAATAATAATAATAATAGAAATAAAGCCTGTAGCTCAGGTTTTATTACAGGTTAAACGAATCTTCCTGTCATCTTTTATTCCAGTGACTTATCACAGATATTAAAATTACCCAGGCCGAAATTTAATATAAGGGGCTGTACATTATAAGTCCTGATTGATCACTCAGTGGACATCGACCACGGGCAGTAGAGCTCCATCTTTTAAATACATTAAAATTAATGCCATGAAATGGTCTCTGAGCTGCGGAGAGCGCGCGCTGCCCGCTCCTCTGCTGCAGTGCAGGAAAGTGCAGCAGGGCTGTGATTTATAGTGATGAGGACGTCCTCCTGCAGATCACGTAGGGGACATAAAAAAGTAGAGCATAATATTGTATAGTCCGATGATTTATGCTCGTATTTATGATTCGGAAACGGTGCAATTAACATTCATAGACTGGCGGTGTGGATAAATGTTGCCTCGCATGGAGGCCTGTGCAGCTCAGCAAAATGACGAGACACTTTAATTAAGTTACTGAAAAGATGTATCATTATTAGATTGTACAATAAAATATTATTATCCATTTATTTCTGCGATTTTTCCATGAAAATGAAAAGTGTTTTTTTTTTCATACTGAAGGTTAGTCACGAGCGAAGAAAGACCTTGATTTCAAAGGTCTGTCTGAGCAAAACAAAGTAAGGCGGATATAGGTTTAATGAAGTTAACTCATGAAAAGATGGCACAGCATGCCGCATGGAGCCTGCCCTGCTGCATATAATTCAGGCGAAAGAGCAAAACGCGGCCCTTTCTTAAAGCTGACGCTCTCTGAGGCACTTGTTTTTGTCCTCGGCTCACACCGCTGGGGCGTCATGCCAAAGCCTAACAACTAAATATCAAAGATGCGGAGTGTCGTAGATCTCTCCACTCTGCATTTTTACCTTATTTCCTCCTATCCCACCTGCTGACTGCGGGTTAAGTTATTTAAATGCAGCTTCTATTGGGAGGCTGCACACGCATGCACGCTCAAAATGCCATTGTCTTTCCTCTTTTTTTCACCCTTTCATCCTCAAATACAGAAATCATTTGCAAGGAAATTATAGGCCTCGCGAGGGCAGGTCTTTTGCATACTAATTTTGTTAGACTTACCTCCCGTGGTCAATGTTCGATGTGACCATTAGTGAGAGCACTAGAATTTATTTTATTCGATTGAAAGACAGTGTTTGGAGTGATGTGGAGGAGGCACCTTGTGCCAGCTTTAAGATAAATGGCTGAGGGCTGTCTTTGTCTGCTCCTCCTGGACTCGGGCCTGCTGCAGGAGAGCTGGAGTGGAGACTTGAAGAGATTTAAGGAAAACACGTGGCCTTTGTGTGGGGCACAATGGCCTCCTCATCAGGTGCCTCTTTAAAATGAGAGAGGCCCCTTTTTAAAGAATAAAAGCATAACCTAAAACCGGAAATTCTTCTCTATCATTCATATACTGACCTTCATATCTGCAGCTCCACCTTGTCTACACCCATCTGTGAGAGTAGAATTACACAGGCCCATATTTCTCCTCAAATGATGTGTTTTTAAAAGGTGAAAGGAAATATTTTTTACACACTTCTCCAGCTTTGTAAAGCTGAGGCAGCTGAGATCATTTTTTTTTTTTTTTTTTTTACTGTGGTTACTTTGGGGGTTGGTGGGTTTGAATGGCAGAAAAAGGGATGGGAGGGGGGAAGGCTTCAAAAGCTGCTTACCAGCAGGTGGCGGCAGCATAACGTTTGAGCGGCCCCACCCCTTCAGCTTGTGGGATGTGGACTTCTCTGCTAATATTGACAGGTGTTTTATCCTCCTGCTCAGGAGAAATTAAAACTGTCAACATGTCAGGAAGTGGGATTTTATTGATCATCGATGAGTGAAATTCAAAGCTGGTCTGACATTTTGTCTTGAAGGTTTGATCTCATTATTATAAAAACACTATATGTGGTCAGCAGTGATCATATCAGGCTCGCAGGGCTGTGATGTAAAACATTTTAGGCTTGTGTGGAAAATCTTGAACACAGAGCTGACAACTGGACAGACAGAAAAGCCATCAAGGTCCTTTGTGATGACTTTTCCCCGGTGGTCAGTTCCCTTATGTGCTTGGAGTCATTCAGAAGATGAATCACATGATGCATTTTTAATTTCCCCTGCATGGCCCCGGTCCAGGACTCGCTGGGTCAGATGGAAATGAGCTACCGGACAGGCCAGTGACATCAGCCGACGAGGTGCTGCGGCACTTAAGACATGATGTACGATGGTCATTACCGGAGGCAGGTCAGGAGGGAGTCTGGGGTCATTTCTCGCCACCAAAGAGAAACAGCAGAGGAAGGCAGAAAGTGTCTGGCCGCTTTAGAAAATCTCCTCAGAGCCTCTACATGGGAACACACACCGGGGCCCCTGATGGGTGAATGGCCCCTCAAGACAGCGAGGGATTATTACCCATCCTCACCTCTGCTCTTTGTTCTTCTACTGTATGTGGTTGCAGCACTTTTGCATGCTCCTTCCATTCAGCGTTGCATCACAAATAATGGTTCCACACATGTGCCACTTATCAACACGTTTGCAGACAAGTTGGCAAAGTCACACGTCTATTTTAGTTGGAGCTGGGCTGATTATTGAGGATTCTGGATGGAGCTGATGTGTTACTCGCTCTCTCCCAGCACACTGTCGAAGCTGTGGCTAATTACCAAACATCCACCGGCCTTTTCTTCCCCTACCTTTGATTGAGAGCTTGACCTTTGCCTCCTAAGCTGTGTTGTGTAACGGCTCGTCTTTGTGAACGTGCTTCTGGGTGGCGAGCCACAGTCCCCGGGCCCTCTGTGTTGTGTCTCGGTGTCACAATATTTGGGCTATCAGAGAGAGCAAACAGATTAGAGCAAAGCAAGGTGTGAATGTCAATGAATATCGCCACATGTATCTCTGCTGTCAGATTTATAGCTTCCTTATTATGAGCAAAAGGGGTTATTCAAAATTAAACAAAGGTGCCTGACAAGTAGAAAGTTAATTGCATTCAAACCTGGTGTTCCTAAAGCAAAGAGAGAGGACTGCGTGTCAAGGAGATTAAGAAGTGAATCAAAAAGAGGAAGGGGGAAAAAATGAAAGGAAACAACCAAAATGAAATAATGTGCTGGACCACCTCTAGAGCGAGTACAAGCGTGGCATCTGTGTCAGATGTTGTTAATTAATGTCAGTATGTTCCTCGCTGGCACTTGGCTTCCTGTCCTTCGAGCAGGGCAGATCCTAGAAAAGGAGAAGGGAACAAATGTATGTGTGTGTGTGTGGAGGGGTGGGTAGGGGTGCTGAGGGGCTCGAAACAGCAGTGGTGGGGGGTGTTAATCCCAGTCATTATAATTCCAGTCTGTGTCCTGTCTTGGGAAAGGGACTACAGGGGCCAACCGTGGATCTTATCAATATGTATTTCCTCTTTTTCACCTCTCTGAGTGGCCCCTGACTGCAAGGTGGAAAACCGGGTTCACTCACTGTCTCTTTTCTTTGTCTCTTTGTGAGCACAGAGGCATCAAGAAACATGATGCAAACCGGTGAAAAGGATGGCGAGAGCTTGTGCGGACTATGTGGATGTCAGATACAAACATATTGATGTTTGAACACTGCAAAACAAAAACAACCTCAATGGAAACACATAGGAAAAAAAAAATCTCTCTTTGCATTTTTTGGTGAAACTCCAATGATCATATTCAGGATCACCACATTTCAACTGCATGGGAAAAAAGCAACCTACTGCAGGCATTGCAAGACACATGCTTTGCTAATTTAGAAGCTATTAGCGGGCGATATAAGTAGAGTGATACAAATGAGATGTTGTCTGCATGATGATTTCAAAATATTCATAAAATCCACAATTTTGCATGTTATCTAAATCTAAGTGTATGCAGACGTTTGATTCTTACGTACGTTACACCCACTGAAAACTTCGACAGCATTGCACCCATTATGAAATTCATCAGCTAGCTAATAGGTGCTCTCAAGTTTGCTCTCCTGTGCTCTCCTGGTTTGGTTTTTTTTGCAACACAATCAACCTTTATGTCAAGTTGTTGTACATTTTGTCACGTCTTTGGGGAAATCAAAGACTTTAAAGACACTAAATTATTTTTAATGCTTGCACAAAAATAATAGGCCATTTTCTAAATGATGTGCCATGCTGGTGCCTGGGATTATAGGATGCCAGTTTTGCCTCCCTGTTGATCGGCTAATTTGAGACTGAGCGCACCTGGTGTGTCTTATTGCGTGCACAAGTGGCGAGAAATGGCACTCCATCTAACGGGTTTGGTTATTTCCATGCAGAGCCGAGGTACTGACGATGTTAGCATTAACGGGCCATTAAAATGAAGAAGGATGAAGTCACTGCCACAAAAAGTTGCTGCGCCTTACTAAATGGGAGACCAGATTGGGCTGAGATAAAAAGGAAGTGGAGCTGCTCGACATGGCCACCATGTCCTGTAATGTTCAGCTTTTATAAGTCCTCCACTGTGAGGGCCTCAGATTAATGTAGACAGGAGCGTGACTGCAGCGCTCTGAATGGACTGCCGTAGGGACCCCGTTGGGGCTTGTTTTAGAAACCCATTCCTGGTGGTAAAAGTGAAATGGCTGTGACATGCAGATGTTAGAAGCATCTAGAACTGTCCAATATCCAAGAAAAGCTCTAAAAGCTTTAAAAGGGCTTCAGTGGGTGATGGTTATGGTTGTGACTATTGGAGTAGATCTGCTGTTTATCACTCACACCTGCTTTTCTTGGAGTGCCGGGGCGTCTGGGCAGCAACCGCTTCCAGGGGAGCGTCAGCAGCTTATCTTTTCAACAGGTTTTCAGGTTGTTGTGGACAGCGAATCAGGGCAGGCTGAATGGAGGAGAGGAGGAGAGCTCAGTTTGGGGTGGCGCCACACCTCAGCACTAATTTCAGGGTTAGCAGAACGCCCAACAGGAGAACAGCATTGCCATGGAAACTGTTAACAGCTAAAAGCACTGTCTACAATCTGAAAGGGGCCCCAAATAATCAGTCATCCCAGCACAGAGCAGATTATAGCCGTCTTTTTTTGCAATGTGGAATATTGAGACACAGAGTGAAATGTGTTTTTTGACCTTGTTAAACATTTCATTGTATTTATACAACCCTTTAAAAGCAGCAGCATCTGTTCTGCATGTAATGCCCCTAAAAGTAATACATTTCTAATCCTTTTTTTATTCAAGCTTAGTCTCGTTTTCATCTTCAGATTGTGTACAAAAGCTCCCATTATTTAGCATTCACACGACATCACAAAGTAATAAACCCAAGCACAATAGCTTTTCTCATTTATCCTTTAGCAGATGCACTCTGTAATAAAAGCACCGTTACATTTGCTTTCCAAACCAACCAAGCAAATTTACCCTCCCCGCGTCTATCCTCGATATTGAAATGATTCTTTTACCCGGGTGTACGAGTGTTATAAAAAGCGAATGAAGTACGTGAGAGTAGATGGCAAATCAGAGAGAGAGGGAGTGATAGTCAGTCAGGGGCGACCACAATGTACTTTCCATCAGGATCTAGTCAATTTATCAGAGGGGAGATGTTATTAGCTCCCAGATAGCTGCAGCACAAGCATGGAGGTATTTTCCTCCCCATCAGTCTCCTTTATATTTTTAGCTGTTTTTTATGTGAGTACAATGGCCTCAATATCAAACATTTTAAATGATGCTTGAAATACCAGTCACTTGACTTTGATGTCACAGGCAATTAAATCCAACCTTACCCCTTTTCCACCGTTAATAACAGCAATCTCGCCCGGCCTAGTGCCTAATTAATATGTGCTATTTGTCACTTTGCCTTGACACATGTATTTCAAAGTGGGGGTGGGGAGAGTGGCTGAAGCAGTGAGGAGGTGGCTTCGGAGGAGGAGGAGGAGGAGGGGGGTTGAGGGCAGTGGTGTTGGAGTGGTATGCTAGGCTTTTATTAGCTGGTAAGGTAGCGCTCCTCCTGTCTCCCTTCTTCTCACTGCTAACAGTGACAGGCAGGTGTGGTGTCATATGGTTTTACATGGAGGCGTAAAGCAAAAGCCTGGATGGTATTTTTTTTTATGCTAAACAATAAATCAAGATTATTATGTAGTATTATGTAAGGATATGCGGATGAATTAAGAACAAATGCATGATCCAGTCAAAATTGAGAAAATTTGCTGCTTTTGTTAAATTAGATTCCTAATGCGACGCTACCTAAACATATTAATTTGAACATCTTCAACATCTTATCCCTTATTTGTCTAATTCTTCTCCCTGATCATCATTATTCACATTAACTGGAGCAAAATGGGGCTTAAATCTTGACTTGTGTGTCTTTAAATGTGAGTGTCAACATTTCCACTCTGCTGCATAAAGCAAGAGTCAGCAAACCGCTAACTACATGTCAAGTATTTTATTAGGATACTGGGTTGGTTGATTATATTTGCATGTAATGACAGAATTTGAATATATCAGTTATTGAAAGACAATTGAGGTATTGTCTCTTTTTTAATTCTTTGCCTTCCAGGAAGTCGTCATACTCCACTGGGGTTTGATCGTGGCAGAGTAGTACTTATATGTGTTTATGTATGCATGCGTACATGTGCGTTGTGCATCGGAGCATGTGCCTTGTCATGGCCAGTCACTAAAATGTAGCACACAGCAACAGCCAGTAAGGCATGACTCAGGAGGGGGAAAATAATGGAGATATCAAACCAAATAAAAACAACTTCAGTAAGATAGAGAGCATGTAACATGTGAAATGATTATCTTTAAATTTAGACCTAACAATTAGCATATAAATATTTGCTTGAACAGTGTTACTTTTGTCACGTCTTTATGTTTTAATTTTGGAAAGATTTCAGATATCTTCATTTTATTAGTAAGTAAAGTCTTTTAGGGACTCGTTATCCTTCACTATGGTGATTGTGCATCATGCATCTGAGCATACACCTTGTTGTTCCCTGTGTGGCATACTGTAAAAGCCAAGACTCAACGAGAGATTGGGTTGCTAGAGTTACTGAACTAAATGTCGACCGTTATTTTGGGAATGAAACTCGCAGGTAAATTCTAGATTATGTGTCATGAGGTTTGGTCCTCGTTGCGGTGGTCACTGGTTCGACTCCCAGCCAAACCATCCCTCTTTATCTACCTCTCAAAATTTCTATCACTCTTCATCTTCCCTCTCCAAACCATTAACTTTAAGTAACAATCCAGTCTCATCTTAATTTCTATTTAGGATTTGGGAATATGCTTTCAGCCATGTCTTATTTTCATGCAAAGCAACATTTCATACACTTTACACTGGAAGAGAAATCTCATATCGTCTGTGAAAAGTGTCATTCTCTGCCTTTTATCATTATCCTTTACTGGATTTAGACTCTGGCAAAGTGGTACTCAGCGGTAGAGCTTGTTAGTCTTTGTAGTCTTCACTGTGCTTTCGGGCACATGCCACATCATTGCTGGTTTGAATCATGGCGCAAAAACCGGCAACATGTGACTCAAAACTCAGACAGGGATGGTGCTGACTGAAAGCTGAGCTGAATTTAGACATTTGTGGTAAAATTCTTGAAAAGGGGATCTTAAAAATAATGATTAAAGTACATGTAAACCCTGTCTGATTTAATGTTGGACAACAAAAATATCCCTCTCTTGATGATCGTTGTTGTGTGATGTAACGGCATGGTTTTACATGTTAATTTAGGGATGAAAATCTTCATATCGTCTGTAATTCTGCACCTTTTTAGGAAGTCATCATCCTCCACTGGAGTTTGACTGTGGCAAAGTGGGGCTTATAATTAGGCCTGTGTGTGTTTGTTTGTGTGTGTGCATGCATGTGCATTGTGCATCTGAGCACATGCCTCGTCATTGCCAGTTTCCACTATGCGGCTCGGCGGGTGGGAGGGCAGCATTGCAACATTTGCAATGAAATCAATGATCCATGGTTCTTTAGATGTGACCAACAAACTAAGTTGTCATCTTTCTCTGAGACAAAAGGGGCGACGGGGGGAAAACTGAAAGCACAGTGCACCCAAGCTACTGATATTACACTGCAAATGTTCAGGGTTTGATGCCCATGCTGCTCTCAGTGGGGTCAACAGACAAACATTCATACATATATATATCCGCTCTGTACATCTCTCTCCAAACCCCTCACCCCCTTACTCCTAACTCCTTCCTTTGCTTTCAGCCTGAAACCTTTTGCCAAATGCTGCCAAGCTCTCACATCTGTGCCGAAAATGAATTGTATCCCAGAGCCCTCTGAGTCAAGGATTCACTTGTAAAGAATGCAGTTTTATTGGATGAACAGACTAATGTACCATGCAATGTAGTTGCACTAGCATTTTATGCCACATTGAAAGAGTCAATTAATTTGCATAATTCAAACGAGCACGTACCGCCACTTTGAAGGCATGGCTAGGCATCTTGGCTTGTCATGTCATCTCTTCCATTTCTGATAAATTAATCATTCTCGCCATACAATTAATTACATTTATGACAATTTGAACCTTTGTCCCACCCACCGGCCCTGGCAATTTTACAGCCAGGCTGCAATATCAGAGCATCCCAATGAAACCCTGGTGATTTAGTGAACACCTTAACAGAGAGCCCATGCCTAGGGCTGAATAAAATTAATATTTTGTTTCCCATCTGGTGGAATCAGCAGAATTAATGAGGGAAGGAGGCCCGTAGCTACGCACAATCCAGGGATCAATCTGCCTCTCTCCGCTGGTTGCTACTCTTTGCTGGAGGTGTGTGTGTGTCTGTGTGTTTGGGGAGGGAGTGAGAGGGCGGGTGAGATGAGGGAGATGGTGGGTTGTATCCTCCTTCAGTGTGGGCATCTGTCACACACAATGCACGATAGTGATCACTACTGTAAATTAGTGATTGCAGCAGTGCTAGTCACTCCTCACAGCCCTGATAGACAGCACAGTTCTTTACACACCTCTACCCTACTGATTAACTTTCATTCAGAGCGACCCATCCGTCCATCTGTCTCTGTCTGTCTGTCTTCGTCTTTGTCACTTGTCTACAGCCTCTAATTGAATTGCAGTGAGGGGAAAAAGTCTAGGAGCTTGCCAGTGTTACAGTGACAATTGTGCTGTGGCAGAGCAAGGCTAGTGCAGTGCAAACAGCTCAGCATCTGGGCTGCATGTGGTTCCTGTCACCATGGGGATGGCTGGGGTCAGGGTTTTTTTTTTTCTTTTTTTTTTTTAATGCTGTCAAAACAGAAAGAGAGGAATTTGCAAACTCTTGCTGCTAGAGATGCTTTGCACTGTACTTTTAAAAAATATTTTAATTTTTGTTTTTTTAGATTTCTCACCAGGTTAAATTATTTTTTATAGATGAGCAGGGAAAATGTCAATTCTGCTGTATGACACTGGGAGAAATTACTTTGTGAATCTATTTATCCAGGTTTCTCTTTATTTAACTTTTTCTTATTTACTTTTTGGAACAATATTTAACTTTTTTTCTTGAATCACCTGAATTTCACAATCTGATAAATATTAGAAGAGGAGGGATTAGTTATCTTCCATATTTATGTTTCTTGTCAGTGTTTTGATTGATTTTGTGAAACACAGGGGTTAGGGTGCCATGTATAAAAGTGCCTATAGGTTAAGTTAACTTTAAAAAAATAATAATTTTCTTTCTTTCTTTTTCTTTCTTTCTCTTTATTTCTTTATTTATTCCAGCCAAGGCAATTTCTCAATTTGACAATATCATGTCACATTACATGTTTTTTTCATTGGTTGGAACAGAGCAGGGAGAACATACAATATCTGTGCATGATGTGTGTACTTGGGATATCTGTGCTTGATGTGTGTACTCATTCTTCTATGTTTGCTGTGCTGATCCTTTGCTGCTGTTATACTGCAAATTTCCCCAACGTGGGATGAATGAAGGTTTAGCTTATCTTATGAATGTGATCAAATCACTGAAATTTGATGAAATCGGGGACATAACACCATTCATTCAGTTTTATCTTAGATTTTCAGACTCTTTACGGATCAGACATGTAAATTCATGATATTCATTGCTAAAGTGATAAATGGATGACCTCTGTGACCCCATTTGTCAGTGGAAACTAATATTCATGAATAATAATGTCCACATATTGTATGAGAGAAATATAATCCATGCAGGATATCACACTTCAAGAGTTTGACACCTTTTCCCAGCTTTGGGTCACACTGATGTACATAGATTTCTTTTCTAAAGGTTCATTTGGTGGAAAAATATCGCCCCAAACAACAAACTTTCCCTTCCTTCAAATACTTCCACATCACATGTTCATTTCATTTATTCATTTGTGACTGAAATGCCATTCAGTATTCTGGTCATCCATTTACCAGAGAAATAAGAGAAACAGAGACAGAGGAAGCACTTCTCTGACTCTCATATAGTGTCATCCAATCTGGGCACCCCATTACCTCCTTCCCCTGCCCAATGTGTCTGTCTGTGTCCATGTGTGCATGTGTAAACTGCCCCCCCGTGTCTGTCTTGCTTGCTCCGTGCTGTGTTTTGCTGCCTGGAGAAGGTGCTAGTCATCTCTTTGAAGTATCACTTCAATTACAGGGTTTAACCCCACAGGTCAGCCCTTGATTATTTACACAAAGCTGGTGTAATTCTGCCGGAAAGCTTCGCCTTTGCCATGAATACAAAGACAGGCTTCATTCTAATGGAGTGAATTTCACAACACAACTCGTCCTGTTTTGACCCGCATCTGAAAGAGTGACGAGATGTTTGGAAAGATGTGTCTCACAGAGCTTTGATACTGTTGCAAAAACTCCTGGCAAACACATGCACAAATCATAACCATTGCACCAAAACTCAGTTGCCAAGTCATAGTTTATCATGCAAATTATATTAAAAATATTGCAACTAAAAAAAAAAAGTGGTTAAAAACAAAAGCCTCTTCAGTACATTATATTGTGCTTGTAGATTTTTTTCTTTTTCTTTTTGGTGGATTAGGGTGGCCTAACCATGATTTAATCTATGTTTAAAAACGTATAAGTTTCTCAGTTAAA